CAAAACTATCTCTTATGAATTACAATTTTATGCATATTAAGGGAATTTTATAAATATGTCACGTTCCCTTTTCCAATGCAGCATTAAAACTCTCGCAAATGTACCGCGTTTCAGACGGACATCAGATGGAAAAAGGCGGGAAAGGCATACAAAGTTAAATCATTTAATCGTAATTAATTAATTGCTACTTCGAATGTGTCTCCAGCAACGATAAAGGCGAGGATATAGTAATCAAATCGGCAAATATCTTCCATTATTGGCCTGACTTGATCGTGCACGGGGTAGGAGCACTTCGTCGATTGACATGCAATTTTATGTTATTTACGAAAACACTTATCCTTCATAACCATTTCTATTTATTGTGGATTTATTTATAGAGATATTTTTATTTCTAAAGTCTAAGCAGTTTTCCAACGTTGCGATTATATCATGGAGCGCCTGAGTTAAACATATTCGTGCGTATTTGCTTTCACTTTCCGCGTATTAAGCAAGACTAAATTGGTTTAAAAGCTTACCTTTCTCTTAAACACGTATATTTTATAAGGATTATAACCCAATGTCCTCCTCACATACCTTTCTTTCATATATCGCTTTCAAATTAATTTGCACTTCGGTTTAAAATTGACTTCGACGAAAGCAGAGAATAAGCACAAAATAGTTCCGTATGGACTCCGAGCACGCGCTTCGAATAATGGTGTTTCGAAATTAAAGTGCTTTTATACTCCTTCGACAGTTGCGTTGCTTTGTATTTTACATTCCCCTGAAATTTAAAACAGCGTTGAGCAATAAATATCATCGATGAGTAAACTCAGATGTTTTGTTTTTCTAAGTGCATTAATAATCTCTTGAAACAACTTTGCCACCGGCAAACAGATAATTGGAAATATATAATGTTTTGCTTATACACTACATTTACACATAATAGGTAAAGGAAAAAGTTCATAGCGTTTTTCCATAAACGTCCGCAGATTGTCGTAACACACATTGCACGTCAAAATGACACATCTTAGATAATTAAAAAATAAAGATTTGTCATATTTGTTAAGCTTGCGAACGGTTCATGTTAAGAACGTTGTATGCTCTTTACGACTAATTGCTGATACTGTTTTGAAGAAGAACGCAAACAAATCGCATTCTGTCACATCGCCGTCGAACTAAACATTGACTAAATAATACTTGTGAGACATTTTGAGAAGGCTCGATACAAAAAGAAGATTGATATTTCCTTTGAATTGACACGAAAGCAAATCATGTCATTTTTGAAAAGCTTCACAACGAATGACGAAAGGCGAAATACATACGACACTAATGTTTGATAAGATCAAGGTCCGGGATGAAGGATGTTGAACAAATGGCGGCAAAATCGATGGACTGATGTCACGTAATGTAACATTTTGTGTTCGATGGGACTCGAATGGTCAGGAGCTTTTCATTTCTTTTGCTTAGATACTTTATTGGTAAAAACTCACGGGCTTGAAGCGAGCAATTGAAATAAAATGTCCAGAACTAATCAATAGAAAATGCGTTCCATCATCGTCGGTGTGTCTGATCACAAACATCTTTAATGATTCAGGACTCCGGAGCTCGGCCTATTCCTTCCAACTACCGTTTGTTTCGCTCTTTGTGAAGATTTGCTAATTGTGTGCAACTGACTTCTAAACAAGAGAATTTCTACACCAACGGCAAAGTTATCGAAGAAAATTTTACATATTTGGTTCAGTACAGTTCGTTTAAACTATAAACAAAACTTGTGTGAGTATTGGTAAAAAATTCCATGAACTTTCTTCTTGATCCAACGTTTATTTTAGACTAATTGTGCTATGAGTATTCCTTACATAGATCGCTCAAAGAAAAAAGCATTCATTTTCCCCAAGTTATGTTGTTATTATTTCTGAAAAGCGGATTCGTAGAGTGTTTCGCAAAGTAACTGTGGAAACTTTCAGCCTTCAAACCTTAATATTTTCCAAATAACGAGCAAAAAGAAGAAGCAAGAAAACAGTTTAACATCATCAGCCCACATTAAGATCTGGCTAGATTTAACCACCGAAAAGAGATCAATTATGTATAAAATTAAATAAAAGGGGGCTTAATTGGCTACCTTGAGAGAGCAGAACAGAACCTTCAATGATCTGTTATGCAGATAAGAGCTCATTCATTTCACTAAGTAAAAAGGGAAGCCAGAGGCATAGTGTTTGAAGATTAATAAGTTATGGTTTATTAAGACAAACGCTTTATCAAAATCTGTATATGCGACATTCGAGGACCACTACAAAATGCATGCCGGAATGGAGAAATGTAAGATTTGATAGCAAAAGCTAAGTGTTGAGTAACAATTCGGACACACAAGTTGGATTTGGCAGATTAGAGTAGTTCAACGGATCATAGTTCATTGAAAAACACCATATCTCTATCAAGTGTTGCAGTGGGAGCCATACAGCCAGAATTATCACTATAACACCAAGTGACTTGTGGTAAATTGAAATTCCCCAACGCGATGACTATATCGGTAGATCGAGACTTTTCGGCCACGTTACAAATAGGGGCAGCATGTTTCTTGTATATAGATATATCCGCATTTGGGACAAAGTAGGAGCAAATTCAACATCGATTGGATTGCACTAGTGATGGTACTTTAATTGTCACATCTGCTACAGTACCGTCTTATTCAATTGAATTTCCCACTCCTCTCGATGTTGAATTTGCTCCTACTTTGTCCCAAATGCGGATATATCTATATACAAGAAACATGCTGCCCCTATTTGTAACGTGGCCGAAAAGTCTCGATCTACCGATATAGTCATCGCGTTGGGGAATTTCAATTTACCACAAGTCACTTGGTGTTATAGTGATAATTCTGGCTGTATGGCTCCCACTGCAACACTTGATAGAGATATGGTGTTTTTCAATGAACTATGATCCGTTGAACTACTCTAATCTGCCAAATCCAACTTGTGTGTCCGAATTGTTACTCAACACTTAGCTTTTGCTATCAAATCTTACATTTCTCCATTCCGGCATGCATTTTGTAGTGGTCCTCGAATGTCGCATATACAGATTTTGATAAAGCGTTTGTCTTAATAAACCATAACTTATTAATCTTCAAACACTATGCCTCTGGCTTCCCTTTTTACTTAGTGAAATGAATGAGCTCTTATCTGCATAACAGATCATTGAAGGTTCTGTTCTGCTCTCTCAAGGTAGCCAATTAAGCCCCCTTTTATTTAATTTTATACATAATTGATCTCTTTTCGGTGGTTAAATCTAGCCAGATCTTAATGTGGGCTGATGATGTTAAACTGTTTTCTTGCTTCTTCTTTTTGCTCGTTATTTGGAAAATATTAAGGTTTGAAGGCTGAAAGTTTCCACAGTTACTTTGCGAAACACTCTACGAATCCGCTTTTCAGAAATAATAACAACATAACTTGGGGAAAATGAATGCTTTTTTCTTTGAGCGATCTATGTAAGGAATACTCATAGCACAATTAGTCTAAAATAAACGTTGGATCAAGAAGAAAGTTCATGGAATTTTTTACCAATACTCACACAAGTTTTGTTTATAGTTTAAACGAACTGTACTGAACCAAATATGTAAAATTTTCTTCGATAACTTTGCCGTTGGTGTAGAAATTCTCTTGTTTAGAAGTCAGTTGCACACAATTAGCAAATCTTCACAAAGAGCGAAACAAACGGTAGTTGGAAGGAATAGGCCGAGCTCCGGAGTCCTGAATCATTAAAGATGTTTGTGATCAGACACACCGACGATGATGGAACGCATTTTCTATTGATTAGTTCTGGACATTTTATTTCAATTGCTCGCTTCAAGCCCGTGAGTTTTTACCAATAAAGTATCTAAGCAAAAGAAATGAAAAGCTCCTGACCATTCGAGTCCCATCGAACACAAAATGTTACATTACGTGACATCAGTCCATCGATTTTGCCGCCATTTGTTCAACATCCTTCATCCCGGACCTTGATCTTATCAAACATTAGTGTCGTATGTATTTCGCCTTTCGTCATTCGTTGTGAAGCTTTTCAAAAATGACATGATTTGCTTTCGTGTCAATTCAAAGGAAATATCAATCTTCTTTTTGTATCGAGCCTTCTCAAAATGTCTCACAAGTATTATTTAGTCAATGTTTAGTTCGACGGCGATGTGACAGAATGCGATTTGTTTGCGTTCTTCTTCAAAACAGTATCAGCAATTAGTCGTAAAGAGCATACAACGTTCTTAACATGAACCGTTCGCAAGCTTAACAAATATGACAAATCTTTATTTTTTAATTATCTAAGATGTGTCATTTTGACGTGCAATGTGTGTTACGACAATCTGCGGACGTTTATGGAAAAACGCTATGAACTTTTTCCTTTACCTATTATGTGTAAATGTAGTGTATAAGCAAAACATTATATATTTCCAATTATCTGTTTGCCGGTGGCAAAGTTGTTTCAAGAGATTATTAATGCACTTAGAAAAACAAAACATCTGAGTTTACTCATCGATGATATTTATTGCTCAACGCTGTTTTAAATTTCAGGGGAATGTAAAATACAAAGCAACGCAACTGTCGAAGGAGTATAAAAGCACTTTAATTTCGAAACACCATTATTCGAAGCGCGTGCTCGGAGTCCATACGGAACTATTTTGTGCTTATTCTCTGCTTTCGTCGAAGTCAATTTTAAACCGAAGTGCAAATTAATTTGAAAGCGATATATGAAAGAAAGGTATGTGAGGAGGACATTGGGTTATAATCCTTATAAAATATACGTGTTTAAGAGAAAGGTAAGCTTTTAAACCAATTTAGTCTTGCTTAATACGCGGAAAGTGAAAGCAAATACGCACGAATATGTTTAACTCAGGCGCTCCATGATATAATCGCAACGTTGGAAAACTGCTTAGACTTTAGAAATAAAAATATCTCTATAAATAAATCCACAATAAATAGAAATGGTTATGAAGGATAAGTGTTTTCGTAAATAACATAAAATTGCATGTCAATCGACGAAGTGCTCCTACCCCGTGCACGATCAAGTCAGGCCAATAATGGAAGATATTTGCCGATTTGATTACTATATCCTCGCCTTTATCGTTGCTGGAGACACATTCGAAGTAGCAATTAATTAATTACGATTAAATGATTTAACTTTGTATGCCTTTCCCGCCTTTTTCCATCTGATGTCCGTCTGAAACGCGGTACATTTGCGAGAGTTTTAATGCTGCATTGGAAAAGGGAACGTGACATATTTATAAAATTCCCTTAATATGCATAAAATTGTAATTCATAAGAGATAGTTTTGCAAATCTAGCTACATAAGGAGACTTATAAAGCAACTCTAAAAATAACAAAGGAATTATTTAAAAAGTTAGAATAATCACATACAAAAATAATTTTTTTATTGTGGTGTTTGGTATTTATTGGTTTTAAATAACTGCAATTTAGCCATTAATTAGCTTTAATTTAATTTTTCAGATAAATAAACAAAATTGAAGTGGCATAATAATCGGTAAAAAGCGGGCCAAGAAACATTAGTTAGTTGAAACCCCCTAACATGAGAGGTAAGTAGTTAAGAACAGTTTTTTCCCGGAATACACAAGCGTATGCTGATATTGATTGTCAAATTAAATAAATTTGCATTTGTTTTCTAAGTTTAATTCAGGTCACGGCATGCTCATATCCTTACCGAATACCGGGTCAACGGATCGTAATCGTAGTATATATTGTATGCGGAGAATTGCTTTTGTGGCTGTGTGGATATTTTTAATGTTGAAGTTGCGGAGCTTTTTCTTCGGTAAGTACTTTTAATAAACTATGAAATTTTTTTTTAATTTGAAGTTGATTAACGTTGTGCGCTTAAACTTTGTTTTCGCCTTATAATCATGGCGAATAGAACCAATCTATTCGGTGAATGCTATGAGATCCGTAGCGCTTCATAATGCTCCGACAATTAGCCAGCAAATTACTAAATATAATGCTGCGAAATTAGTTTTAAATGAAGATTTATTCGGTCCGTTAAAAAATGATTCTGTAGTAATCGTAGTACAAGTAAGAAAAAATCTTTATCATTTCTCTCTCGACTTCGATACAGACCTTCGTTGTTATATCTTTACAGGTTCACACTCGTGTTACATACCTAAGCTATTTAATTGGGAGCCTAGCACAGGCATATGGTATTTCAACAGTTCTTCTGATATTTTCTCATGACTACCACGATAAAGATATTAAAAAATTAGTGGAAACTATAGACTTTTGTTTGGTAATGCAGGTAAAATTACAATTTTTCGCTTGATCTGTCACATTCTACGTAACTGTTTTCAATTTCAGATATTTTATCCATATCCTATACATAAGCATCCAAAATGTCTACAGAACACTTTAAAAAGTCCGTAAGTATTGTTTGGTAAGAATTTTATAGCTCGCGAATCAGTCTATTTTTTATCAACACTCACAGACTACATTAGGACGTATTTAAAGTGTTCTGTAGACATTTTGGATGCTTATGTATAGGATATGGATAAAATATCTGAAATTGAAAACAGTTACGTAGAATGTGACAGATCAAGCGAAAAATTGTAATTTTACCTGCATTACCAAACAAAAGTCTATAGTTTCCACTAATTTTTTAATATCTTTATCGTGGTAGTCATGAGAAAATATCAGAAGAACTGTTGAAATACCATATGCCTGTGCTAGGCTCCCAATTAAATAGCTTAGGTATGTAACACGAGTGTGAACCTGTAAAGATATAACAACGAAGGTCTGTATCGAAGTCGAGAGAGAAATGATAAAGATTTTTTCTTACTTGTACTACGATTACTACAGAATCATTTTTTAACGGACCGAATAAATCTTCATTTAAAACTAATTTCGCAGCATTATATTTAGTAATTTGCTGGCTAATTGTCGGAGCATTATGAAGCGCTACGGATCTCATAGCATTCACCGAATAGATTGGTTCTATTCGCCATGATTATAAGGCGAAAACAAAGTTTAAGCGCACAACGTTAATCAACTTCAAATTAAAAAAAAATTTCATAGTTTATTAAAAGTACTTACCGAAGAAAAAGCTCCGCAACTTCAACATTAAAAATATCCACACAGCCACAAAAGCAATTCTCCGCATACAATATATACTACGATTACGATCCGTTGACCCGGTATTCGGTAAGGATATGAGCATGCCGTGACCTGAATTAAACTTAGAAAACAAATGCAAATTTATTTAATTTGACAATCAATATCAGCATACGCTTGTGTATTCCGGGAAAAAACTGTTCTTAACTACTTACCTCTCATGTTAGGGGGTTTCAACTAACTAATGTTTCTTGGCCCGCTTTTTACCGATTATTATGCCACTTCAATTTTGTTTATTTATCTGAAAAATTAAATTAAAGCTAATTAATGGCTAAATTGCAGTTATTTAAAACCAATAAATACCAAACACCACAATAAAAAAATTATTTTTGTATGTGATTATTCTAACTTTTTAAATAATTCCTTTGTTATTTTTAGAGTTGCTTTATAAGTCTCCTTATGTAGCTAGATTTGCAAAACTATCTCTTATGAATTACAATTTTATGCATATTAAGGGAATTTTATAAATATGTCACGTTCCCTTTTCCAATGCAGCATTAAAACTCTCGCAAATGTACCGCGTTTCAGACGGACATCAGATGGAAAAAGGCGGGAAAGGCATACAAAGTTAAATCATTTAATCGTAATTAATTAATTGCTACTTCGAATGTGTCTCCAGCAACGATAAAGGCGAGGATATAGTAATCAAATCGGCAAATATCTTCCATTATTGGCCTGACTTGATCGTGCAC